CACACCCCTCGGTGTTGCGCCCGCACCGAGCTCAGCCAGTGAGCGGGAACCGGTCTCCACATGGGATGCGAACCCTCGGGCGGGAGCGCCGCCGCACTTCCCAAGCGGCGCACTGTAGCAGTGCACCACCGGGCCGGCCCGCCACAACATTTTTAAAATGCTGCAAAACAAGTAGTATGATTCTATTTTTAAGAAAGAAACTTTCTGGGCCGGCCCGGTGGTGCACTGCTACAGTGCGCCGCTTGGGAAGTGCGGCGGCGCTCCCGCCGAGGGTTCAGATCCCACATACAGACCAGCCGCTCACTGGCTGAGCGAGGTGCGGGAGTGAAACTGAGGGTTGTGATCCCGTAGCCGGTCCCGGTCCGGTACGGGCGCGACACTGAGGGTTGCGATCCATTGCCGGTCACGAAAAAAAGACAAAAAGGAAAAAAAAAAATAAAAAAGAAAGAAACTTTCTGTTTGTATGTATGTAAAGAGAAAAATTGGGAGCTGCTGTGAGTGACAGTCAGTTGTCATTGTCATCTATGAAGTACCCTTTCCCCCAAACTTTCTTCCTGTAACACCAAAACCACTGTACCCATTTGGACAGCAGTTCCTCACCCTACTCATTCTCTGTGATCTTGGTGGGGTTGTCAGCCACAGGAGTAGTTATGTGACTCAGGCCTATTCTAGAATTTACGTATGTTGCAGAGAGGAGGGAGAGACTTTACTTCTTACTTAAAACCTTTTCTAAAGGCACATGATTTAAAAAGCCAAATATTCCTGAAAGTTTATAGTGAAAATTAGCAGTGCCCTACCTCATTTCTTCCCGTCTGATTCTGGCTCTATAGAGGCAACCACTTTTAATTATTTGGCTGTTTACTATTTACCAGGCACCATTCTGAACACATCACAGATATTAACTCATTTAATCCTCACCATAATCCTATGGAGAGGAATAAACCTGCTGTCAAAACTCTGACAACTTACTGGAAGGGGGCTGGAGGCCTCACTGTTGAGTGAACAGACTTCACCTGAAGCCTCCTGTTTTTTGGTTTGCTACTCCCACCCAAGTGCAGAGTTCTTTGGGTTCAGTGTCTCCCAAGAATAAATTTCTAGTCATTTGCTGAGTAGGGGAGGTGGTTGTACAAAATTGAGGAAGAAATCAAAAGGTCTACTGAATCCTATATAGCCCTTCAAACTGTTTTAAGCTCTAAATTCAGCTCCATCTTTAGAGCTTATCTGGTGCCTCCTGTCCCTCCAGGGTTCTGCTTGCTCCTTTTTATCCTTTTCTTTTCAAAAAAATGTTAACAGCTTTATTGAGGTACAGTAGTTTGCTTCTTGACTTCTCCCCATGCAGACATTTAGCTTCCCAATTTCTCAAGTTGCTATATAAGCTACTATTTTCCAGTTTCCAAATATTGCTATTCTCTTTTATCTACTATCTCTTCTCTGTTGGTCCCTGTGGTTTACAGAGGGAGCCAGATAAACACGTATGTTCACTGTCTTTAACCAGAAATCCCTATTTTTACTTTTTCCACGCTGTTTAATTACTTTTACAATGAGCATGTGTTACTTATGTTAAAGAAAATTTAACATCTGAAAGAGAACACCACATAGAATCACTTCTACCCTGCCAATTATAGTGATCCATTTATATAAGGGAGCAGGGGGTGGCAGTTTTCTGAAAGGGCAGGGAAAGGGGAATCTTAATCTTGCTCACTGCACGGCATTGCTACTGGCCTCCTTGCTGATGCAGCCACATTCCCTCTGTCTGCAACGTTCTTCCACTAGGCATCTCAATGGTTCTCTTCTTCCCTGCCTTCAGGTTTTTGTTCATAAGTCAATCTCTCAGTGAGGCTCTCCATGACCACCTATTTACTGTACTCCC